GAAAGATAGAAAGATAGAAAGATAGAAAGATAGAAAGAAAAAAATACAGATAGGTAGGGAGAGAGAGAGAGTAGTTAGGGAGAGAGAGAAATATAGAGAGAAATACAGTAGGTAGGTAGAGAGAGGGAGGTAGGTAGGTAGGTAGGTAGAGGGATAGAGAGAGAGAAATACAGTAGATAGGTAGGTGTTTCTGCTGGCACAGCACTTGATCAATGTAATTCTCATCAATCAGTTAAAGAGCTTTCCAAAAGGAAAAAAAAAGTTTTTGCACTCTGCAAACCTCCAAAAAACGGCTCATTTTTCACAAAAACGGGCCCATTTTTTGTCAAAAAAAATGCATGCATAGCCTTATGGAGGCTTATAGAGTGCTGCTGGGGGCTGGGGGGAGGGGGAAATGGCTCGTTGTTTGCTCATTTCTGTCCTCCCCAGCTCCCAGGAGCTCTCGGAAAGCCTCCATAAGGGTATGCACGGCCATTTGGGTGAGGGGGCGGGGCTTCGGGAGGCAAAAAATGCTGTATTAGGTTCATAAGATGCACCCAGATTTTCAGCCTCTTTTTGAGGAAAAGGGGTGCGTCTTATACTCCAAAAATATGCTATTCAAACAAGTGCAAAATTCTTATTTTCTCCACTAAATTCTTTCATCTATTCTTGAAACCTTGCATTTTCTCTGAACTGCCCCTTTTTCTCTTCTTAAATCAAGTGAGCTAAAGCAAAAAACTGAATTCCCATCTTTATATGAACCACTATAATCTTTCTTGGGATTTATATCATTTATTCCATCTCCAGATATTTAGCCTACTTTTCAAAGGCTTTCCCTTGTCACTGCGTCCCTCCTCTTCCCACTCTACTTCTAAGTCTCTCTTAAAATTTTCATTGTGGAAAATGATTTTTTAACACGCCTATAGTATTAAAAATGCCACTGCAGCTCAATTCTTCTTCACAATTCTAAATATAAGCATCCACACCATTCTCTACTGTAGCATTGTGCATGGAAATCTCATTGAACTATAAATATTCCTTCTTATATTTTGAGAAGCACTTAGAATATAATTAGCAGTCACCAACAGATCAGGAAAAAAAAACTCCATGAGATTTTGTTGGCTTTCTTTCCCAGCAAGGGACCAACACTAGGTAAACAGAGATCAGCAAACAGCATACCTTGCAAGTCTACATATTGGTCCACAAAATCTTCAAGCTGGGGTTCATAGTCACTCAGCAATTTATAAAAGACCTCCAGAACTACTTCAGCTACTTCCCACTGTCAAAAAGCCATGCACAAAATATCATTCGTTTGATTTTTTAAAAAGTTATAGTCATAAAGTTATATTTTAATCCATTGAGTTGGATCAAATTTTTATCCTGACAGAAGGAGCTTAATGAAACATTTCCTCATATAAGACTTGTTCCACTGAAAGAAATCTTGAAAAAAATCTTTAATTCAAATATAAAATGGTTCTGAAAAAGAAATGAAACAAACCCTACTACATACATTGGCCAAAACTCACATTCTATAGAAATGAAATCCAGTAACATTGTACCTATTAATTTCTTCGGTTTATTATTGTACAAATCAATCAAATAGCATTTTTTTTCCAAATTAGCTGGTATAGGATTGCATTTAGAGAAAAAAGTCTTGTTTGAACTTTCATATATGATTGAAAAAAGTCTGGATTGGAATTTTAGGTCTCAAAGATATAACAAAAATTACAATGTTTAAATAATATAGATTTCAATATATAAACATGGGGAAAGAGCAATTACTTTGCTGTACAAGCTAAAAACGAATGGAGGTCCCAAACTTCAGTTTCCAGTTTAAAAGTTGAAATAGTGTGTTGAATCAGATCAGTAAAATATCTAGAAAGTTTAGCAGTTATTTCCCAGTATTTGCAACAACAATCTTTCAGTCCTACTTGAGATACTTTTCCATTTACAGAACATATTCTGAGTTCTGACTTTCAATACAAGGTCTGAGGAAACCACAGATTTTATAACTCTGTAATGGCTTTTAAAAAAATGATCCAATTATTGTTTAAATTTGCTGTCCACCATCGACAGCTACATGTTAAATGGGAGGCCACACAGAGCAAATCAAATCAATACAGGAATGTCCTTTGTAATACCGTGGTGGTTTATTGTTATTACTATTGCCATAGGATTTTTTCCCCCCAAAAGAATAAGATTACAGAAGTATTACATAATTAAAATAAAGATGATACAAATTTGTATAGATTTGTAGTAATATACATTACAAGAAGTAATGCTTACCTTTTCAGCAGCTCTCCGGTAGGCCCTGGTCCGAAATCGAAGAAATATAGATTCTCTCAGAAAATGAAGGTAAGGCTCAAATCCTGGTGGGCGCAGGCCAGCACCCAGGTTAGAAGGAAATGAACTCTCTACCAGGGTACTGATGAGCTGGCAGAAGGCACGCGTTAAAGGATATTCCTCACACCGGGATTCTACTTCATTCAATTCAACCTTCCAACAACATAAGTCAAATTCCAAACATGTTACTTTTTAAACACAATGGCAACGCACCATTTCAGTTACCACTTTTAAATAAGCATTTCAAGCAAATGCTTCTTCCAGTTTTCTCAAGCGCCCTTCATCAAAAAACCCAAGCCAATTTACAATTTCAGTCTTTAATTTTTAATCTAATAAACAGATAATTTATCGTCATTTACAGAATCTACAAATGCTGTTCCACTGTGAACAAGGGACCGTTGAACCTACAGGTAGTCCTCAACTTACAACCATTCATTTAGTGACCATTTAACAGTTAGACTTATATACCGCTTCATAGCTCTCTAAGCGGTTTACAGAGTCAGCATATTGCCCCCAACAACAATCCGGGTCCTCATTTTACCCACCTCGGAAGGATGGAAGGCTGAGTCAACCCTGAGCCGGTGAGATTTGAACAGCCGAACTGCAGAACTGCAGTCAGCTGAAGTAGCCTGCAGTGCTGCATTTAACCACTGTGCCACCTCAGCTCATTTGAAGATGAAACAGAAATAGAAGTTTTGGAATTAAGAGCACATGACCTGAGATTGGGTGGCATAGTTTTCTGGGCTACACCAAAGTCAAAATTAATGTGAATTTAAAAAATCATTGTATTAAAAGCAATATATTCTCATTATATTGAGAATATGGAATAGTTACAAATCTAGTTTGTGCCTGAAAACTCTTAGCACAAGCTTTTATAGATGATAAATAGTAGGCAAACACAAATGGCTAACTTCTAAATTCTATGCTATATATTGGATTGATAATATGAGAATTTATATAAACTGTAAGTGATGACTATGGTAAGGCGGCACAGAAGTTTTGTAACCAACTGACACACTGTATGTAACTAGAGGATGGTTTTTGTGTTGTGTTTGTCTATGTTTGTTTGTTTAAAATAAAATAGTTTTTTTTTTTTAAAGCTACTCCTCTGTATTTTTTTTCAGTTTTTCTTTTACTTTCTTTTCTTGCACTTTTAATTTTCTCTTAGAGGTTTCTCTCTTAGTTTATATTATTTTTTATTAATGTTATCTTTCCTTTTTAAAGTTAAGAGAGGGGGAGGAGGAAGGAAGGGAGAATGTGTTATAAAGATGGGATTCAATTTTTTAGAATCCTTTTTCATTAGTAAAACTTATTAAATTGCCTTCAGGGAAATAACTGAAAAAAATGGGGTAGGGGGAAGTAGATAAATTTTGGAAAGCTTAGAACTGTTCTATTCTGCCTTAATATGTAAGGGTCCAAACCATCTTAAACAATTTCAAGCTAAATCCAAATAAATTGTCGTAAGCCAGTAGGCGGCAATATAAAATTTCCAAATAAATAAATAAATAAATTACAAAAGGATGTAGCTGCAATTTGAGTATCACTATTTTCACACTTGCAAGTGTATCCCATTATATCCAGAAAATAAAGAAGGTTTAAATCTGCACAGATCAGGTTATTGATCCTATTTTTTAAACTGGATTGAGGCTCTAGCTAAAGATATAATGTGTTTTTGATAGATTTATGTTGTTTTCTTTCTTGTGATTTTGTTTTAAAAAGCAGTATATTTTCAAGTGTTAGGCACAAGCAACCAGATCCTCACATGAAAGGTTCAAGCACACTACTTTATTCTTATCACATAGAAATTGCCACAGATTGCCAGCCTTACCCTAGAAACAGGTTTGATTCTATACAGCTCAAAAAACCAGTGTATGTGTGTGTGTGTTTTTTGTGTCAGTGTCAGTCCTGGCCCTCTTGCAACTGTGCAAGAATAAGGCTGTTCAAGGCTAAATCTGTGATTGAGGGGTCCCTCTGCCTAGCTGGGTATTTCCCAACATTAAGATACTGAAAGACAACAACCGTCTCCTGTTATATAATCAAATATTCATTAAAAATTGAATGACTAAGTGCAGACAATTTACCTCAATACCAATGGCTTGTCTTTGGCCTGGAGTTCTTACAGTCTGCAATATCTTCCAAAATAAATGGGAGAGAATGAAATGTTTGTCACTATTAGCAAAATAATACTTTTTTTGTATAATTATACAATGCAATACAAGAATGAACTATTGTTGATTGTACAAACCATTAGTGACAGGTCCTGCTCCAAAATTAAAATAACCACACTCTTCTTTTCATACTTTTTTTGTGTTTACTAAGTCTATATTTTGTTGACAGAATGTTGAGTTTAAAAGTTTCCCACTAAATATGTAAAAATCCTTTTTATTTCTTACACACAATCAGTTTTTTTGTCTTTCTATCATTTACTTCCCATATACTAGCAGAAATTTATAATGTAAAGGAAAACAACATAGTAAAGTTGGAAGGGCATTCAGGAACTCAGTTTTGCTCAGTACATTTTCTTATTCTGCAGGCCAATTTTCCAAATTGGAAAACATAAATTAAGTTGGACAAAGTATAGAGCAGGGATAAAATTTCCCCTTACAAGATACCTGTGTGTATTCCAATGACTGCCATAGTGAAGCAGCAATTTCTGGAGATTTCCCAAAGGCTGAGAGAGTTTCTAATAATTCTGCTTTCAAAATTGGATGTATACTGCATTGCAGAAGTCCCAGAATAATAACTACTGGTGTCCACTGAGGATGTTCACAGAGAGCCAATCGTGCATTTTCACTCTGAAAAAATTAAGAAAAACTATCACTTATGTTTAATGATATACATAAGATTAAGCCTTGTCAGCTACAGTGTCCATTATACCAAAAATGAATATTTGGAATTGTAACATTTTCTTACACATTGTTTTTCTCCCACCAAATTTACCTTCAGTTAAACTAGACCTATGGCCACCTCTTAGCTCCTTTTGATTACTCCTGGGGCCAAATATGTCAGTGACTATTGAATAAAGTAGCAACTGAATTTCTTCATATGTCAAGTAACTACCTACCCATTTCACAATAGTCGTAGTAAGCTGCAGAAAAGCAATTAATCCATCCTGTTCCTTCTGTGTGATGCCTCTGAGAGGAAGATGACGATACTGAGTGCTCTCTGCACTTGGCAAATCTTTACGTAAATGTTCATGGTACAGCATCAAGGAGTGGAAGAAATGCTCCCAAGAGACAGGACTTCCACCTGCTCCTTGGATGTTTTCAGCTGAATGAAAAAAAATATATAATGTAGATTATATTAAATAAATTACAAGTGGAAAAAAAAATTCCCTAAACTCAATCTCATTGAGTGACTAAAAATAATTTAGACCAGTGACTCCCAACCATAAGATTATTTTATGTTTTCTGAATTTTTTTGAAAATGTGTTTTCCGATGGTCTTAGGCGATCCCCGTGAAAGGGTCATTCGACCCCCAAAGGGGTCCCGACCCACAGATTGAGAACCACTGCTGTATTCAGTGTATAACAGTGGTTCTCAACCTTCCCAATGCTGTGACTTTAATACAGTTCCTCATGTTGTGGTGACCCCCAACCATAAAATTATTTTCGTTGCTACTTCACAACTGTAATTTTGCTACTATTATGAATCGTAATGTAAATATCTGGTTGCTTGTGCCTAACACTT